CCGCGAAATATTCATTGGAGACCTTATTCTATTCGATTTATGGTTCAAAACTAACAACCACCAAATTAGGGGTGGGGGAGGACTATACCAACACCAAACCCAGCCAAACAACAAATGGTGGTGTTGGTTTTAATCTTCGGAAAAATACCTTTTGTCCAAAAAGAAAGGGAGAGAAACATTAGCGCAAATAGTGATATAGTAAAGCAGTGTAGGAAAATAGTTCTGAGTTTAATGAAACATTTACATTTTTTGGAAATAATAGTGGCTTCTTCATGATTATAGGATTTTTTACTTTTATACTAACGTAGTTACGGGGAGACTGGTTCACGTTCTGCATCGGGGCACATTCGGCAATGTCGTTTTCGATATGAAGCTCTCATTGTACATCAGTAGCTTTAATCCGTAGACATCTAAAATTAAAATAAATAACTGTCGAAAACGTTGAAATCTTTAGCTAATAAGCTTATTTAATAAGCTTATTTATTTATTAGCACTTTCAAAAGAAGAAGTATACCTGCAGTTCATCCACAGGACGAAGCAGACTTCCAGCTCTCCAATAGGAGGTAGGATACCTGCAGATCTTCCATGGGAAGAATTCCTGCAGCTCTTCCACTGGGAGAAAAATTGCTCCAGCTCTCATATAGGAGGAAGAATACCTCCAGCTCTTCTAAAAGAAGAAGAAAACCTCCAGTTTTTTTTAAAGAAAGAATAATACCTGCAGCGTTTCCGCAGGAACAAGAGTCCCTGCAGCTCTTTCGCAGGAAGAAGAATACCTACAGCTCTCTTATATGAAGAAAAATAGTTCCAGCTTTCCCATAGGAAGCGGAATATCTGCAACTTTTTCAAAGGAAGAAGTATACCAGCCGCTCTTCAATAGGAAGAAGACTTTCATCTCTTCCACAGAAAGAAGACTTTCAACTCTTCCACAGGAATAAGAATGCCGGCATCTCTTCCTCAGGACGAAGAATATCGACTGCTCTGCTATAGGAGGAAGAATACCTCCAGCTCTCCTACTGGAAGAATAATACCTCCAGCTCTTTCAAAGGTAGCATATATCTGCAGCTCTTTCCAAGGAAGAAGAATACGTACAGTTCTCCTCTAGGAAGAAGAAGACCTCCAGCTCTCCTACAGGGAGAAGAATACCTCCACCTCTTTCAAAGGAAACAGAATATCTTCAGCTCTTTTAAAGAAAGAAGAATACCCGCAGCTGTTCCACAAGAAGTAGAATGCCTCCAGCTCTCCTATAGAAAGAAGAATACCCCCAGCATTCCTATAATAAGAAAAATACCTCCAGCTTTTCTATAAGAAGAAAATTACATGCAGCTCTCCTATAGGAAAAAGAATAGCTCCAGGACTTCCACTTCCACTTGGTAGAAAAATGCCTTCAGCTCTTTCACAGGAAGAAGACTATATTCAGCTCTTCCACAGGAAGAATATCTGCAGCTCTTTCAAAGGAAGAAGAATACCTGCAGCTCATCCACAGAAAGAAGAATACCCGCAGCTGTTCCACAGGAAGAAGAATCCTGCAGCTCTCTATAATAAGAAGCAGCTCTTCCACAAGAAGAATAATAGAAGGAAGAGTACCTCCAGCTCCCCTATAGGAATAAGAGCACCTGCAGCTCTACCACAGGATGAATAATACCTGAAGCTCAGCTATAGGAGGAAGAGTATCTCCAGCTCTCCTACAGGAGAGCTTTTCCTATAGGAACAAGAATACCTGGAGCTTTTTCACAGGAAGAAGAAGACCTGCACCTCTTACACATTTATCGCATTTTTGATCCGATTTAGATGAAATTTGGCACCTCTAACTTATTTGGACTTAGGACGAACCGTATCGAAATTGAAGAAAATCGGTTCAAATTTAGATATTGCTCCCATATATGGTTTCGTCCGATTTTTTTACCCTACACAACTATGTTGTTATGGTATTATAGCCTTGTGTAGCCCCAAGAGTTTGTAACGCCGCGAAATATCGGTCCTAGACCCACTTTTAAGTATACCGATCGTCATATCTCGACTTGCTGAGTCGATCTAGACATGTGTGCCAGTCCATCCGTCCGTCTGTCCATTATAATTTGTAAACACGATACAGGCCACAGTTATAGACCAATAAATTCAATAAATTTTCCATGTTGGATGGGTTCTGCCCAATGAAGATCCCTATTGTTTTTGGTAAAGATCGGTTAATATTTAGGGATGTAATGGACCGAAAACTTTATTTTTGTCTGATTTTCTGGGCGCTCCAGAGGCCGCAATTATGATCCAAACATCGCGAATGTTTACATGGAGAAGGGGATCAGCAAAGGACATAGACCGGAGAAATTGATGCCCAAGAGGAGTGGTTGACCTTTAAATTGATACCAATTTTATTATCGTATGTACTCGGATGTGGGAGTTACACTTAAATATTTACAGATGCTTACGTATTCAGATATTATTTAGAAACCCATTACCACACTAGAGGACGTAAATATAGCGCTGATCGATTTGAAATTTTCCATGAGGATCCAGGTATGGTTAAGGAGGACGCCTATAATTAATTTTCGATGATGATCAGATAATAATTTTGGGATAAAATGGACCTAACATTTATTTTTTTATTTTTTTTTTCGAGTTGGTCTATAGGTAGCAATTATAAGCCAAAAATCACAACACAACCCACGGTAAAGGGAATCTGAACCGCAGAAAGTTATAGTTTCGTGATAGTTGTGTAGGGTATCATATGGTCGGCCCCGTCCGACTATACTGCTCCGCCCACTGGTTTCTGAAATGCATACGAAGTTTTGTGGAAATTGGTTCAGATGTAGATACAGCTCCCATATACAGTTTTGTTTGATTTTTGGTAAAGGGTACACCAAACTCCCAATATTATTTCTCCGATTAATACAAAATTTTGTACCACAAAACTTCACGAACATCAAACTGGACTTAAGTCAGTACAAGTCCAGTTTGATGTTCGTGAATTTTTTTTGTGGAAATCGGTTCAGATTTAAATATAACCACATATATATTTTCGTCCGATTTTGTTTAAATTGTGCACTAAACTCTCAAAATTTTTTTCTGATCGAGAGAAAATCTTGCGCAGTGTATGTCCAGATAGGCGTATGCGAAGTTTTGCTAAAAATGAATCAGATTTAGATATAGCTCTCATATATATTTTCGTCAAATTTTATGTAAATAATTCACCGAAGAGCCTACGTTTATTTGATTTACACGAAATTTGGCAGATGTGCAATATTGGTGCAGTTTTTGCGGTAGTCTTCATACAACGGTACCACTAAGTTTCCTTAGTCTTAGGGTTTTTGACAAGTTTTTTTTTTTGATCGAATTGGTTGTAATTTGGGTTCTAATTGGGCGTCAAATCTTTCTGCCACAACGGATTAATATGAGTGAAATTTCTTCAGTTGGGAATTTAGAACAAATCGTAAAAAAATATGGCTGTAATTTTAATTTTGGATTATTATTTGGCAACATATCTCCTTACAAAAAAATTGAATAAGAAATTTAATGTACACAGTAACATAGTCATATGCTGTGAAAATATATTTCCAGCAGGATGGTAATAATATCACACAAGAGGCCCTTACCTTGTCTGAACCCTCGTTCGGTACTGAAGGGATTCGAGATGGTCTTTCCGACTTTAACTGCTGACCTTGCGCCAGTTAAAGTTATCCTGCATAGTCGTATTAATTTTACAGGAATACCGAAAGCAGACATGGCATTAAACACCTCTGAACGGATAGGGCTGTCGAATACGGCTTTATAGTCAACGAATATGTGGAATATGTCAATGTATTTTTCGTGAGTCTTTTCCAGGATTTGGCGCAGTGTAAAAATATGGCCTATATGCAATTTGCCAGGTCTAAAGCCGAAGTGATAAGATCAAATAATATCATTGACCATCGGCTTCAGTCGTTCACACAGCACGCTGGATAACACTTTATATGCGATGGGAAGAAGACTAATTCCTCTATAGTTGACACATATCGTCTTGTCTCCTTTTTTGTGCTCGGGGCACAGTATGCTGAGGTTTCAAAGAGTTCTTATAATCAAAAGAAATCCACTATCTTTCTTTTTGCAAAAATATACAAATATTTCATTAATATCACAACTATTTTCCTACTTCGTTCTACTTAACCACTGCTTGAGCTAAATTTTACTCTCCCTTTCGCACCCTCTCTTTTTGACTAAAACAAATGTATTTCTCCCAAGAAAAGAAAAAAAAACACACCACCACAACCACCATTGATTGTTTATTTTGGTATCGACATTCCACTCTCTCGAGAGTGACAAGTTTTGCATTCCATTTGTGTTACAAAATTCGCATATGTATTTTCCATATTATTTCGATATAAATCCTAAATTATTTTAAATCTTTATGAACTGCATGCATAAATCTCGACTTAGCAACACTTTCTGAACACTATTCATATATTTTATGAATTATTTTTTTTCTGTGTAACCTTAGAATAAACTATGCATCTTAATAGGAATACTTTCGTATTTTGCCTCTCAGTGATTCGGCTCATTTCTTATATCCTTCACCACACTGTGGGTATTATGCCATTGTGTAAACGTTTGTAACATGCAAAAGAAATGGAAATATACCCACAGTTATCTTTGAGAATCTGCAAAAAATCACTCTCTGAGTCAATTTATGAATTTTGTCCGTTGATGAAAAAAATTTACGTACAGGACACATTTATATTCCGAATTGGATACAGTTTGGTACAAATCATTGATTTTCATTTCATGTCAAATGTTACTGGTTTTAATTCTCTTGAAGACTCTATGCCTTACTAAACACCATATGTATTTTATTCGAGTAGTGTGATCGACATATCAGGCACGGTACTTCCCATTTGACCTCTTATCACTATTTTCACAAATTGTTGTCGGCGATTAATGAAAAAAATGTCATATCAATTGTTTATTTCAGTTCGCAAGTTAGAACGAATGCTGATGGTACTGAAAACGCAGCAAAATTTCACAAACACAAAATGGGGCCATCGCTGATTTATGTCACATTAATATTTTTCAATATTTTCAATGGAAGTAAAACACAAATCGTAGGTAGAAGAATTTAAAGAAAACATTTTTTAAAATTTAAATAGAACGCATATTGAATTCTAAAAAAAGAATAATATTTTTCAATGAAATTTTAATTTTTACCGGATACTTACCCACAGCCCATCTCTAATCATGGAAGATATTTGTTTGGCCTATCATGATATAGCTACTGACTTTAATAATCAAATCACATCTAGCCAGAAAACTGTTTCGTAATATTGAGTAATGAAGCAAATATGTTTTTCCCTCAATTATTAATTTGATTTTGGGTCAAACTGACCGATTTCACCACACGAACTTATTACTCTAAATCTATTTCAGATTCCTACAGATGTCTGTGACTCAGAAGATCTGGACGCGTGGATTCAATGGTACAGTGATGTTTATAAATTTGCCAAGACCAATAAAGATGTCTATAAACATTTGCACGAATTAGAGGCACAATTACAAACAATTAAATCACAATTGTCGGAAGTTAATTCGAAATTAGATCAGCTACAGGAAAATATTCATGGTGAAATTATCATACAGCGGCGCATGGATGGTTCCGAGGATTTTTATAGGCCATGGGAGGATTACAAACGTGGATTCGGTAACAAAAGTGGAGAATTTTTCATTGGACTAGAACGATTGCATAAACTCACCAATAGTAGACCCTATGAACTGTTGGTGGTCCTTGAGGATTTCGATAATGATCGTCGCTATGCCAAATATGATAATTTTGTAGTGGCCAGTGAAAAGGAAAAATATAAACTACAAAGTTTAGGTCAATACAATGGCACAGCTGGTGATTCACTAACCTGGCAACTGGGTCAAAAATTCACCACCAAAGATCAGGATAATGATACAGATAATAATAACAATTGTGCCCAATTATACACAGGCGCTTGGTGGTATAGAAGCTGTCACGCCAGGTAAGTGAAGTGTGAAATTATTAAGTAAAAGTGTGTTAAGTAAATGTATTTCTCTTTTTTAAGTAATTTAAATGGCAGTTATTTAAAGGGTGCAACTACAGTCTATGCGAAAGGAGTTGTCTGGCAGTCTTTTAGAGGCCATTATTATTCGTTGAAATTTGTTGAGATGTCAATACGACCAAAATGAATTATGGATTACAAAATGTTTACAACAAATGTTTAAGAATAAATGTGATTTTATCAAATACCATTTTTCTGTATGTGTATTCGTAGGGAAACTGCATAGAAACATAGTTCAGACCAAATCGCTATGGGCCAGGAACCCAATATATTTTTGGCAAAAAGTCCAGTTAAGGTAGAAAGGAAAAAAAACGTTATATATATTAAATCTGGGGACTTTGAGCTTTACACCGATATTTTTTTTTATCATTGTGGGTCCCGTTTGACAAATGACATGAGGTCAACATCATAATTTCATATTTTTCTGAATAAAAGTTATATTTGAACCAGTAAAGTTGGGTATATCGAAGGATCATACTCATGACTTTCTGCAAACTATGATAAATTTAATTTTATTTGGGCAGATTTAGAGTCGTCTGCGTACCATGGGACAAATTTATGGAAAATGATTTATATGGAAATTGATACACGCTATTCGGTACACCGCACTGTTGAAAATTTAATCTCAATCAGACATCCGTTCGAAATACATATGGAAGCTATGTTTGGATCTGCACCAATTTCAACATACACCAATTTCAACTTAAAATCGGTTGAAAATATATGTGGAAGCTATATCCAAATCTGAACGGATCTTCACGAAACATAGCCCATAGCGAAACATGAGTCTAGAATGACTCAATTCAGTACGCTATGGCATTTAGGTACTTTGGTGCACCATTTACCTTAAATCGGACGAAAATATATATGGGAGCAATATCTAAATCTGAACCGATTTTCACGAAACTTAGCACACATCATACTAGGCTTGATCCAGTTCGCCGTGCCAAATTACAATAGGGTTCTTAAATCGGACGAAAATATATATGGAGCCAAAAAAGTGACATATGCCAAATTTCATCCAATTCGGATCATAAATGCGACCTGTACTTTGTTTACAATTTAACATGACAGACAGACGGACGGACGGACATGCATAAATCGACACAGAAAGTGATTCTATGCATATTCTCAAAAGGAATCATGGGTCTATCTCTATTCTTTTTGCCTGTTACAAACATATACACAAGGACATAATACCCGGTACCGCAGTGTGGTTAAGGGTATAAAAATGTGATATAAACTTGAGATGTGTCAAAATATTAATCTTCAATCAAATTGGCTTTAATTTGGTATTTTGGGCTCGCATTGTGCAGCGCATATTCTTACCAAAAATGATCAATGTTTGGTTTTGGTTATCCCCAATTTTGTTTTTTTTTATTTTTTTGCATTTTTCATCCAAATTGCCTGTAATTTAGTATTTTCAATTCTCATTGGGTGTGAAATCTTCGTAACAAAAATTATCAATATTGGTTTAAGCGTCGGGGTGAGCTCCATATAAAAGGACCCCCTTATTCTGTATGTTGGGAATTTTTTCACCTAAATCGTCGATATTTAAAATTTTATTATGATGTGCCATATTTTAAAGCCCTTAATACTGTTATTTTCGGTCTACCCTATCAATTTTTTTGCTTTTAATCAGCGTCCACAAAACCCATATGTGTGATATTTATTTCATAAACGCTCTGCTCTATTTTTGGCCAGAAAATAAGGTCTCTGGCCCATAGCACAAAATATAGATTGAACAGTTTACGATATATTCATGAGATTTTCTTAACTCTCATATTAGTAGTCATAATTAATTAAAAATGTATGTTATACTAGCATATGCCCGCAAATTCGTTAGCAAAACTTTATGCATGCCCCGATCCTACACCCCCACAATGTTTCTAGATTCAAATTTCAGGATTCCAACTCTATTGGTTCACCCACAATTTAAATTGTACCAAATTTAGTACACAGTAGTACGAATTTCCAAAACTTCCTAAATACCCCAATCCTACACCCGACAGTGATTCTAAACCCAAGCTTCAGGATTCCAACACTATCGGTTCACCCACAATATAAATTGTACAAAGTTAAGTACACAATAGTAAATGTCCAAACTTCATTGTTCCACCTATATAGGTTCACCCAAATCCAAATTGTACCAATTATAGAACGATTTAGTACTTTTCGTACACATAAGTAAAAATTTCCAAAACTGCGTACATATCCCAATCCTACGCTCCGACGGTAATGTTACTTTCAATTTTCAGGATTCCAAAATCAAATTTGTACCAAATATAGTATCATATAGTACTTTTCGTACACATGAGTACACGCTTTCCAAACTCTCCTCATATCGACCCTAATTATCAACCTTAATTTGCAGTCCAATTTTCAAGTTTTTAGCTCAATCCATTCACATGCTACGAAATTGTACCAAATTTAGAACATTTCAGTACTTTTCGGATACTTATAGTTCGAATTTCTAAAAAAGTCCTTTGCTACATCTATTCTACACTCCATCAGTGACCCTCAATCCAAATTTCAGAGTTCTAGCTCTACCGGTTCGCCAAATACAAATGATAGTACTTTTCGTACGGTTCTAGTACGAATTTCCCAAAAACCAGCCTTATCTTTCACCTTTGGACCAAGAGTGATACTCGCCTAAAATTTCAAGATTCTAGCTTCAGCCGTTTCGTCTGTTCGTTGATGAATTGTTAAATCAGTAAGTCAGTCAATTACTTTACTCTTTTATTAGTATAGAATACATTTGTACCAACTATAGTACCATATATTACTTTTCGTACACATGAGTACACGCTTTCAAAACCATCTCCTTAAATAGACTCTACATCTCAACCCTAATTCGCATTCCACATTTCAAGATTTTAGCTCTATCCATTTACATGCTACGGATTTGTACCAAATTATGTACATTTTAGTTTATTTCGGATAGTTATAGTTCGAATTTCCGAAAACCCTTTGCTACACCATATATATACCCCATCAGCGACCACCACTCAAAATTTCAGAGTTCTAGCTTTACCGGTTCGCCAAATACAATTGGTATCACATTTAGTACTTTTCGTACCGTTCTAGTACGAATTTCCAAAAACCCAGCCTTATCTGTCACATTTGGACCAAGAGTGACCCTCACCCAAAATTTCAAGATTTTAGCTTCAGCCGTTTCGTCTGGGCGTTGATGAATCGTTAAATCAGACACGTCCCAACGTCATCCAGCGACTTATTTCCCATAAATCGCTTATTTGCTACAAGACCGGCATAAATCAAAAATTGTGATGCAGAATTGTTCGGTATATAAGATTTCTTGTTGCATAATTAAATTACATGAATATCTGTTCTACTCTCTGCTTGAAAAGCTGTAGAAGTTCCTCTGTTCCCTGTAAGGTGCGAGTAATGGAAAATTCAAGACGCATTATGTGCAAAACCAATTTTTATACCCTCCATCATATTATGGAGGGTATATAAATTTTGTTTTTCTGTTTGTAACTCATCGAAATAATCATTTGTAACCCATGTCCGCCTATCCGTCTGTCTGTCTGTCTTGAGCGCGTGATTCAACTGCATTCGCTGAAATTTAGTATATTAGGTTCTTATTGGGTTTGAAATTTCTCCACCAAAAATTATAAATATAGGTCTACTTTTTCTAGTAGCCCCATATAACGAAACCAGAGGTTCCAGAAAGGCATAAATATCACATATTTAAGTTCGTTCAATTTCATGTCAATGTTCTTTCAAAATGGCGACGTCTGTTAGGAGACATATGTAGAATATATCCAAAGTGGTGAAGGGTATCGGTTCAGTCCGACTTTACTACTTGCCTTACTATTTTTGTAGGGAGATTGGTTGGTTATACATTGAGAACCCAAAAATAGTCAAATATAAAGGGGAAAATCGAATGGTTCTGGTACATATTTAATAAAATATGTACCTTCCACAGTAGACAAGTACATTAACAGTATGCCAAGTTAACATGGGGGCGCCATACAGTAGATATGCTCCGCAGTCGACTTCGAAAAGTAATCAAATAAAGTTGTGTTTGAACGGATTCTATCTATCTGAATACAACTTGTCGGAGGGGCTCCAGAAATTACAACTCTATTCTGGTATGGATATTATCTTCGTGTTGATTAACGTCGTTTTGTTACACGCATATTTCACAAGTCTATAAAAATATGTCTTATTAAGATCACATTTCAGTTGGTTACATATACCGAGTGTTGATGGTAGTGAAAATTCGGGAATATTTTGTTAAACGATGAATATGTATAAGCCAATACGAAGTCCGTATATGATTTATATCATATTAATAGTATTTTTGAATATTGTGAAACCAGGCAAAACACATGACGTAAGTAATGGAATTAAAATGAAATCATACGAATAATTTAAAATATTACACTGTGCAACAAGATTTTAACGAACTCGGAACGGTAATTTTTTTTACTCTTACTTTGTGGCTAGAATTCAATATAATTTACTGTCAATTATTTGTTATTATCAGTTACGTTGTGGGTAATTTTTCCATGTTTTATTCTGTCTTTACCTCGGCAGAAAAGAAGCTGCGTATTAAATGGGAGATAAGCGACAATGCGACGGCTGCCACATATTTATTTCTGGCATACTGATAAATATTGAAATATTTATTACCATTATTTATATTATTTTTCTTAATATTTACCTCTCTTTGTGCATAATATGTTTTGAACATCCAAAAAGACACGAGATAGACCCATAGTTTCTTTTGAGAATATGCTTAGAATTATTTTCTATGACTATTTATATATGTCCGACCTTCTGTCTGTCCATGTAAAATTGTAAACAAAACACGGATTGAATTTATGATCAGCACATTTATTAGAATGAACTCTATTGGAAATAATCCAAATCGGTTCAGATTTAGAATAACTCCCATATTTATTTTCGGTCGATTCTTTTTTCTAACCAAGGCCCTACCGCCTGTAATTCTTAGAGCTACACAACATACTCAAAGTCTTCATATATATTGTGTTCAAGATATATGTTTTTGAAATAAACTGATCATGGCACTTGAGTTTTTATACTCTCCACCATAGTATGGAGGGTATATTGATTTTGTTTTTCCATTTTTAACTCATCGAAATAGTCATTTCCGACCCTATAAAGTATATATATTCTTGATCAGCTTAAAATTCTATGACGATATAACCATGTCCGTCTATCTGTTGTAATCACTCTAGCGTCTAAACAAATTGAGATAGGTCGCCAAAATTTAGCATAGAGTCGTCTTTTGTCTGCATATAAGAGTACCCCCATATTTTCGGTATTTTGGGGTTCTTGAGCGCGGTTTTCAACCGAATTCGCTAAAATTTGGTACATGGGGTTCTTATTGGGTACCAAATTTCCCCTCTAAAAATTATAAATATAGGTCTACTGTTTCTGGTAGCCCCCATTAAGGGTACCTCCCAATTTTCAGTTTTTGGGGGCGTTTGACCCGATTTTTTCACCTAATTGGCTGTAATTTATTAATTTGAGTTCTTATTGGTTAGCAAATTTCTCCACAGAAAATTATGAAGATAAGTCCATTTTTTCGGATAGCCTTCATATAAGGGCACCCCTAATTTTCGGTATTTTAAGGGTTCTTGAGCGCGTTTTTCAACTGAATTTGCTGCAATTTGGTATTTTGTAGTCGTATAGGGTAACAAATCTCTCTACCAAAAATTATTAATATTCGCCCCCTTTTTGGGGTAGTCCCCATATAACCCGCTTTTTATACCCTTCACCACACTGTGGTACAGGGTATTATGTCTTTGTGCATATGTTTGTAACAGGCAAAAGGAAACGAGATAGACCCATGGTTCCTTTTGAGAATATGCATAGAATCACTTTTTAAGTCGATTTATGCATGTCCGTCCGTCCGTCCGTCTGTCTGTCCATGTATTTTTGTGAGCAAAGTACAGGTCGCATTTATGATCCGAATTGAATGAAATTTGGCACAGCTCATTTATTTGGCCCAAGCGAACCCTATTGAAATTGGGAAAAATCGGTTTAGATTTAGATATAGCTCCCATATATATTTTCGCCCGATTTAATGTAAATGGTGTACCAAAGTCCCTATATATCTTTCGATTTGCATGAAATTTGGTATAACGTACTGAATTGAGCCTAGAATGATGTATGCCAAGTTTCGAGAAAATCGGTCCAGATTTAGATATAGCTCCCATATATAGTTTCGTCCGATTTCATGTAAATTGTGCTCTAAAGTCCCTATATATCTTTCGATTTGCATAAAATTTGGCATAACGTACTGAATTGAGCCTAGAGTGATGTCTGCCAAATTTCGTAAAAATCGGTTCAGATTTAGATATAGCTCCCATATATAGTTTCGTCCGATTTCATGTAAATTGTGCACCAAAGTCCCTATATATCTTTCGATTTGCACGAAATTTGACATAACGTACTGAATTGAGCCTAGAGTGATGTCTGCCAAGTTTCGTGAAAATCGGTCCAGATTAAGATATAGCTCCCATATATAGTTTCGGCCGATTTCATGTAAATGGTGCACCAAAGTCCCTATATATCTTTCGATTTGCACGAAATTTGGCATAACGTACTGAATTGATGCTGGAATGATGTGTGCTGAGTTTCATGAAAATCGATTCAGATCTAGATATATATATATATATATATATATATTTTCGTCCGCTTTAATCTAAATAATGTACCAAGTCCTTATGTTGTATAGCGCTTTGAATTTAATCCAGAATGATGTGTGCCAAGTTTAGTGAAAATCGGTTGATATTTAGATATAGCTCCTTTATATTATAGATTGATTTTAAGTAATTGACGCACCAAGGAACCAATATATGGCTGATAGGAACAAAACGTACTGAAATTAGTATAACCTAACCTGTGACAATTTTATGATAATAGTCCTGTTTAATATACCCATAGTGGTGAAGGGTATCATATAGTCGGCCCCGTCCGACTTTACTACTTTCCTTACTGGTTTTAATATTAAAATAGTTATCTGATTTGTTTCGCGTTTTGAGTTTGGTTCTAAGACTCTGTTGTAATCATTTCAGCTGTGGAGGATAACGAGATAAAAAATTAGAACAAAAGGTTCGATAATGAACTACAGCCGCATTTAGACCTAGCCCTTGTGTGGAGGTTACAGAAGGAGTGAACCGATATTTCCCATCTTCGAAGTTGAACTAAGTTTGGAAAAAATAATAAGATGCGCAAAGTTTGGATGAAATATTAATTTTTTTGAAACGGATTTGATCCAAAGAAACATGGGATCTAGAACCAATATTTCGATGAGGCACATTTTCACCGTATTAAAGGGTATGCACCCTCATTAGCCATAAGGCTGAGGGTATAATTATCCATTAAAAATTTCTATATTTTCATTTCTAGTACTTGTCAGTATATCTATGGTGGAGGGTATCCAAAGTTCGGCCCGGCCGAATTTAACGCTTTTTCACTTGTTAATATTTTCTTTCGCGTCTAGTTTGAACAGAATTGTCGTGCTAACGGTGAAATTATTATACAACGTCGCATAGATGGTTCGGAGAACTTTTACCGGCTATGGGATTATAAACATGGATTTGGCAATCAAAGTGGAGAATTTTTCATTGGCCTAGAACGTCTGCATAAACTCACCAATAGTCGACCCTATGAATTGTTGGTGGTCCTGGAGGATTTCGAAAATGATCGTCGCTATGCTAAATATGATAATTTTGTAGTGGCCAGTGAAAAGGAAAAATATAAACTTCAAAATTTGGGAAGATACAGTGGTACAGCTGGTGATGCACTAACATTTCAGTTGGGCTATAAGTTCACCACCATGGATCGAGACCACGATATAGACCCTAACAACAATTGTGCCCAATTATATACAGGTGCTTGGTGGTATAAAGCCTGCCATGAAAGGTAAGTAAAGCTGGAAATTCTTAATTGATTGTTGTTGTGCCAAGTTAATTAATTTTGTTTCTCTCTTTTTATAGTAATTTGAATGGCAAATATTTAAAGGGTCCTACTACAATTTTTGCTAAAGGAGTTGTCTGGTATTGGTTTAGAGGTTATAATTATTCGTTGAAATTTGTTGAGATGTCAATAATTCCGAAATAAAGTAATGAATATTAAAAAAAATATATAGGGGAGAGGGGCACCTTTGAATACTTTTTCCTTGTTTTATAAATTTGAACTAATAGGTGCAAATGCAACCTTTACACTGAATAAACATATGACATACTTTAAGTTCCATTAGGATGTTTTGTTACTGTTTTACTGGACTAAGTCATTACGTTCAAAACTGCCTTCCCAGAGGGGCAGCTTTGAACAAGGCTTCGCATTTTTGAGCGGCATTGTTTTTATACTCTTCAGCACACTGTGATACAGGGTATTATGTCCTGTGCATATGTTTGTAACAGGCAAAAGGCATAGCATACCGAATTGAGTCTAGAATGACAGATGTAAACTTTCGTGAAAATCGGTTCAGATTTATATATAGCTCCCATATATATTTTCGTCCGATTTAATGTAAATGGTGCACCAAAGTTTCTACATATCTTTTAATTTGTACGAAATTTGGCATAGCATAGAATTACGTCTAAAATGGCGTGTGTCAAGTTTCGTGAAAACCCAGATTTAGATATAGCTCCCCTATATCTTTTCTTCCGATTTTACGTAAATTTTGCAGTAAAGTCCCAAAGTTTGTACGATTGGCACAGAATTTTGAACAATGTACTGGATTTAATATAAATTAATCTCTGGCAAGTTTCGTTGAAATTGGTTCAGATTTAGATATAGCTCCCATATATATTTTCGTTGGATTTTAGGTAAATGGTGCATCGAGTGACACGAATGGCGTTATTGCGTTTTGTTGAGTGACGTATTGCGTTTCATGTCTGATCGAGATTAAATTTTGAAGAGTGTGGCCTATCGAATAGCGTGTATCGAGTTTGCTCTAAATCGATTTACATAAATTTCTCCCAATGTACGCAAACGACTCTAAACTTGCCGAAATGTAATGAAATTTAGCAGAGGTTCCAGAAAGGCATAAATATCACATATTTAAGTTCGTTCAATTTCATGTCAATGTTCTTTCAAAATGGCGACGTCTGTTAGGAGACATATGTAGAATACATCCAAAGTGGTGAAGGGTATCGGTTCAGTCCCACTGTACTACTTTCCTTACTGTTTTTTTTTTTTTTTTTGTAGGGAGATTGGTTGTTTATACATTGAGAACCCAAAGTACTCAAATAGTCAATTATAAAGGGGGAAATCGAATGGTTCTGGTACATAGATAAAATATCTACCTTCCACAGTAGACAAATAAATTAACAGTAGTAGATATGCTCCGCAGTCGACTTCGAAAAGTAATCAAATGAAGTTGTGTTTGAACGGATTCTATCTTATCTGAATACAACTTGTGGAAGGGGCTCCAGAAACTACAACTCTATTCTGGTATGGATATTATCTTTGTTTTGATTAACGTCGTTTTGTTGCACGCATATTTCTCTAGTCTATAAAAATATGTCTTATTAAGATCACATTTCAGTTGGTTACATATACCAAGTGTTGATGGTAGTGAAAATTCGGGAACATTTTGTTAAACGTTGAATATGTATAAGCCAATACGAAGTCCGTATATGATTAATATCATATTAATAGTATTTTTGAATATTGTGAATCCAGGCAAAACATATGACGTAAGTGAAGGAATTAAAATGAAATCATACGAGTAATTTAAAATATTACACTGTGCAACAAGATTTTCGGGGAGTGCGAAATTCCTTGTGCGGGTTGAAAGCCTTTGTCGACGGTTTAACGAACTCGGAACGGTAATTTTTATACCCTCCACCATAGTATGGAGGGTATATTAGTTTTGTTTTTCCGTTTGTAACGCATCGAAATAATCATTTCCGACCCTATAAAGTATATATATTCTTGATCGGCCTAAAATTCTATGACGGTTTAGCCATGTCCGTCTGTCTGTTGTAATCACTCTAGCGTCTAAACGAATTGAGATAGCGCCTCAAAATTTTGCATAGAGTCGTATTTTGTCTGCAGGCAGGTCAAGTTCAAAGATGGGCTATATCGGTCCACGTTTATGCATAGCTCCCATATAAGGGTACCCCCCAAATTTCGGTATTTTGGGGTTATTGAGCGTGTTTTCCAACCGAATTCGCTGAAATTTGGTACTTTGAGTTCTTATTGGGTAGCAAATCTCCCCACTAAAAATTATAAATATAGGCCAATTTTTTTTGGTACCCCCCATATCACGGTACCCCTCAATTTTCGCTATTTTGGGGTTCTTGAGCGCGTTTTTCAGCCGAATTCGCTGAAATACTAAATGTCTCCGCAGAAAATTATAAATATAGGTCCACTTTTTCTGGTAGCCCCCATTTAACGGTACTTTCTAATTTTCAATATTTTGGGGATTTTGATCGTATTTTTCCGCCGAATTAGCTGTAATTTAATATTTTGAGTTCTTAATAGGTCCCAAATCGGATAGCCCCCATATAAGGGCACCCCTAATTTTCGGATTTTAAGGGTTCTTGAGCGCGTTTTTCAACCGAATTTGCAGCAATTTGGTATTTTGTAGTCGTATAGGGTAACAAATCTCTCTACCAAAAATTATTAATATTCGCCCCCTTTTTGGGGTAGTCCCCATATAACCCCCTTTTTTATATTAAAATAGTTATCTGATTTGTTCTGCGTTTTGAGTTTGGTTCCAAGACTTTGTTGTAATCATTTTACCTGTGGAGGATAACGAGATAAAAAAATTAGAACAAAAGGTTCGATAATGAACCTAGCCCTTGTGTGGAGGTTCCAGAAGGAGTGAACCGATATTTTCCATCTTCGAAGTTGAACTAAGTTTGGAAAAAATAATAAGATGCGCAAAGTTTGGATGAAATTTTAATTTTGTGAAACGGATTTGATCCAAAGAAACATGGGATCTAGAACCAATATTTCGATGAGGCACATTTTCACCGTGTTAAAGGGTATACACCCACATTAGCCATAAGGCTGAGGGTATAATTATCCATTAAAAAATTCTGAAATTTGTATTATGGGTTACATAATCCGTTTTTAGAAATGTCGGCATAGGTCCACTTTTTGGTATGTTCCCTATATTTTTATTTCTAGTATCTGTCAGTATATCTATGGTGGAGGGTATCCAAAGTTCGGCCCGGCCGAATTTAACGCTTTTTCACTTGTTAATATTTTCTTTCGCGTCTAGTTTGAACAGAATTGTCGCGCCAACGGTGAAATTATTATACAACGTCGCATAGATGGTTCGGAGAACTTTTACCGGCTATGGGAGGATTATAAACATGGATTTGGCAATCAAAGTGGAGAATTTTTCATTGGCCTAGAACGTCTGCATAAACTCACCAATAGTCGACCCTATGAATTGTTGGTGGTCCTGGAGGATTTCGAAAATGATCGTCGCTATGCTAAATACGATAATTTTGTAGTGGCCAGTGAAAATGAAAAATATAAACTTCAAACTTTGGGAAGATACAGTGGTACAGCTGGTGATTCACTAACATTTCAGTTGGGCTATAAATTCACCACCATGGATCGAGACCATGATATAGACCCTAACAACAATTGTGCCCAGTTATATACAGGTGCTTGGTGGTATAAAGCCTGTCATGAAAGGTAAGTAAAGCTGGAAATTCTTAATTGATTGTTGTTGTGCCAAGTTAATTAATTTTGTTTCTCTCTTTTTATAGTAATTTGAATGGCAGATATTTAAAGGGTCCAACTACAGTCCTTGCTCAAGGAGTTAACTGGAAAGCATTTAGGGGTTATTATTATTCCTTAAAATTTGTTGAGATGTCAATAATTCCGAAATGAATTAATGATTAACAAAATATTTTTATTAATAAAACAAGAACACGTCTATGTTTAACCGAGATTTCATTTCAAGTTTAGTCTTGTAATTAAAAAAAAAATTATGACGTGATCGAAGAGCCGAAGAAGTGTTTCCAATTTTTGCTGTTTTTAAGATAAATGTTTTGTTGTTTTTAGTAATGGTTTGGGGTTATTAAATAAAAACAATTATGTGAAAACCTTTACATGATATACAACATTTTCTAATAAGAGGTGTTATTGTGGTCTTCCAAAAATGCAGTTTTTCTATCTAAAATTTCAGTAATGGAGAAAAATTTCAAATGTCAAATTGGCAACTACCAAAATACCGGATAATTCTAAATAACATATCTTTTTGAATTTAAAGATATGAATCGATGCGACTGTAATTTGGCAATGCGAAGGCTTAACTCTAGTTTAGATTTTTTAAGTTTTTTTCCAAAGGTAGTTATTTTTATCCTAATTATACTTTTCTTGGGGTACGTACCCGGTTCCCGGTTATTTGACCTGGAAGGTAGGGTACGGGCACCTGATTCTACAGAGTGAAAGGGTTATCTTCGTTTGGAATATACAGCCAAAAAATGTGTTCTGGACCCCAACTTTTTTTTGAAAAACTCCTTAAAACTAACATGGCTACATTATAAACCTTCAATGATCGATTACAATTTTCCATTTCCAAAATGGTGCGATATGTGGCTGTATCAAAAGATCTGGGCCTTAGAACCCTACAAAGTCAAGAAAAAACCAGTAAGGAAAGTAGTAAAGTCGGACGGGCCGACTATATGATACCCTTCACCACTATGGGTATATTAAACAGGACTATTAACATAAAATTGGATGAAATAAAATATGTGATATTTATCTAAATGTGAATCTACCTAGATCTATCCATAAACATGTCATTCGTTTGTTACAATGGGACAAAAGTATGTAAATCGACTTCAAACGAATATAAATAGGCCGTTGGGCTATATCTGTACTTCTAGAAAACGCAACTACGTAATTCTATGCTCAATTTTGTAAGTCGTGCAAAATTTAATGTCAATCTGACTAACATGAGCAGTTTGATGCCCAATTTACTTGAAATCGGGCGAAAATATATATGGAAGCTTTATCCAAATATTAAGCGATTTCAAACAAACTTGTCACAGGTTAGTTTATACTAATTTCAGAATGTTTTGTTCCTATTGGTTCCTTGGTGCGTCAATTACTTAAAATCAATCTATAATAAAAGGGAGCTATAT